AGTTTGAAGGAAAAATTAAAAACAGAAGGCGGTGGATGGACTTACTGCCATCGGAATTGGTTTCCACACCAAAACCGTCGAATTGGTTGAGATGCCAACTGCCCTCATAGCGTGCGCACGTAGCCAGGGATTCCTTGATACCGTATCGGCCGCAGAAACCGGCCGTAAAGGCTCCCCGATAGATCCAACGTCCTTTGACCTGCACACCTTCGCCGTGACGCTTCCCTTTCAGCCATCCACCAGCGTATATATTGCCGCTAGGCCATACATAGACGCCCCGGGACTCAAAGCCCATTATCCATTCGCCTGAATATTCACCCTGGTTGTCCGGTCCCGTGGCAATGCCCAGACCGTGGGCCCGGCCCTCGCACCATTCGCCCACATAACTGCCTCCATCATCGAAGTCGAACCGGCCACCTTCGGCACCGGCCATTCTAACTGAGATGCGAAGAGGCTTCTGAGGTAGAGATCAGAGTGGATAGAGAGAGAGGGGTGTGTGTGTGTGCGTGTGCGAATAGGATCAGTTGACGCGTTTCAGTTCCACTAGGGATCACCGTGACTCCATGCCAGGGGAAGACAAAGAACTAGAAAACGAAACTGGACCTTTTTTCCCTTAAGTGTGTTTTTGTATATGGGTGCTTTGGAGTAGGAGTAGCGAATAGAGTGCCAGCGAAATTTCAAGGAGGAGGAAGGGGAGACGAGTGTAACGGAGGAGAGGAGAGAGAGAGTGAGTGAGTGAGAGAGGCGCAGTCAAAGTGGCCTCCTCCTTGCAGTTAAAGCGGTTCCTTGCTGCTAGGAGCGTCCTCACTGCCGGGACAGGCAGACTTCTGACTGAAACCTAATGACTCCTACTACTGCTGCCGTTACCGCAGCTAGCGGTGTGGGAAAGCCGTTTCTGGCCTCGTGTTAATGTTGATGATGATGACGATTACGGCAACTGCTGATGTTGCAGCTGCTAATGCCGCTGCTGGCCGCCAACGCTTCGCTTGCCCGTTAACCGCGGGGATGAATGCGGACTTTCGTTAGATCAGC